TTGGAATCATTCACTAGAGTAAAACATGCCTAAATCCTGCAAGAAATAAAACTGTTCCAACCTATCATGGCAGACACACGTAAGATGGCCCCACATTTGACCATCAATCAGCTCCCACAAATGCACATTGCTACAATCAACAGAATCCTACATGAGCCAGATTTGATTTTATGAGAGCATCACAATCTGCACTCATATCCTAGTTACAACCAGAATACATACAGTCACAGTAGAAGGTGGTAGATGCAATAGACAGATGCATCAAGAAAACTAAATTATAACAGAACACTTCAATGAGAAGTTGACTATGACGTAACATGCAAGCATTTAGTTTAATCAGTAATGCTCCAAGGTGTCCTAGAAGTTAGGTGCAGCTTTAAGTCAGAAAAGAGTAAAATCTGCCTCTTCTCATTGTCAGCTACAGCAAAGGGTGCAAACACGAAACACACTAAAAATGACTATTAAGAAGACCACTAGATCAAGAGGTAAATCAATCAATTCTTCAGTTCAAGAAATAATGATATGAGGCATAAAGAATGCTTAATATCAAGTACGGAGAAGAACACTAGATAAACAGAATGAAGCATGCCCTCAGCCCAAGAAAATAGAGACATGAGGCGGATGAGTTCGACAATATTTCAAAAGCAGAACAAAACGGCTTGGTAATTTTAGCATCAACACAAGCAGTAGTCACTTCATCCCGAAATGGTATCTAAAGTCTGAAACAAGCATAGCTTTCGTGCAACCACATGACAGTCACTTCTGATAAACACAAAAAGAAGAAATCAGCAGGCTCATACTTGATCCAATACATAGACATTGCAACTCATGAGTATACGAAAACTAGGCCATTAAGAAGCACCGCCTCACTCAACAGCCGTCTGATTAAAGGTGAAGCGTCCACAACGTAACCTTCTAGTGTTGTGAAAAGATCATGCGGAACAAGAGTTTGTTTGAGCCGGTGCCTAGATGCATAGATATCTTGGATGCTAGCAACCAGTTTGCCATCAGTGTCAACGTAAAACAGCCAATGACCAAAACTGACCAGCAAGAGAAGAACACTAGATAAACAGAATGAAGCATGCCCTCAATCCTAAACAACTTCTGTTTCATAGTATGATCCGAAGTCCAAACAGCGCGTCTGTGCGCTCTGAACAGGATGTTACTAGCTATAAAGTACAGCACCTGCCCGCAGAAATATGTTAACATCTGAATCTACCAAACGCATGTAGAAACAACAAAAAACAAATTGTGCCCGGAACTTTTATATGCACAGCACCGCCAAAGAAGTTATCAACAGCATTTGTGCTACAAGCTTCGCATGAAGCATCTATCCAAAATGGTTAACAATTGAATTGAAATAATAATAGGTAATAATTGCAAACCGTGCAACAGAAAAATGCAACAAGATATTCATAGGTTTTCAGGACTGCGGTACCAGACTTTTGTAGAACAATACTACTACAGACATGTCCAATTCTCGATATAGTGGTGAGCTTAGTCTCTGTAAGACCTAACTAACCATGTCCATCATTTCTCTGATTATTTTATTAGCTATTGGGCAAAGGGCATAAATATGACACTGAAACCTAGCCTAAAATCTCTTTACACAAGAAATCAAAAGGATTTGGAATGATTTGTTAAAGTAAAACATGTCTAAATCCTGCAATAAATAGATCTGCTCCAAGCTATCATGACAGACACACGTAAGATGGCTCCGTGGCCATCAATCATCTCCTACAAGCCTACAATCCAATACATGATCCTGCATAAGCCAAGTTTTAATTTACGAGAGCATCATATCAACTGAGCTCGTATGCTAGTTAACTTATAACCAGCAACAGACAGCTACAGTTGACGGTGGTAGATGCATGAAGAAAACTGAATTATAACAGAACAATTCATTGAGAAGTTGACTATGATGCAACATGCAAGCATTTAACTAAATTAGTTGTGCTCCAAGGTATTCTAGAAGACAGGTGCAGCTTCAAGTCAGCAAGGAGTAAAACCTGCCTCTTCTCATTGCCAGCTACAACAAAGGGTACAAACAGCAAACACACACAAAAATTGACTATTAAGAAGACCACTAGATCAAGAGGTAAATCAATCAATTCTTCAGTTCAAGAAACAGTGATGTGAGGCATAAAGAATGCTTAATATCAAGTATGGAGAAGAACACTAGATGAATATAGAATAAAGCATGTCCTCAGCCCAAGAAAATAGAGACATGAGGCGGATGAGCTCGACAATATTTCAAAAGCAGAACAAAACGGCTTGGTAATTTTAGCATCAACACAAGCAGTAGTCACTTCATCCCGAAATGGTATCTAAAGTCTGAAACAAGCATAGGTTTCATGCAACCACATGACAGTCACTTCTGATCGACACAAAAAGAAGAAATCAGCAGGCCCATACTTGATCCAATACATAGACATTCGCAACTCACGAGGATACGAAAGGTGAAGCGTCGACAGCCTGACCTTTTACTGTTCTGAAGAAATCATGCGGAACAAGAGTTTGTTTGAGCCGATGCCTAGAGGGATAGATGTCTTGGAAGCTAGCAACCAGTTTGCCATCAGTGTCAACGTAAAACAGCCAAAAACCAAAACTGACCATCAAGAGCATGTCACCACCACCCGAAGCAACGGTCGCATACCAATAGCCCTCACCATCATGGCCTTCAAGCTTTCCCCTGATTTCTGTGATCGGCAATGCAACTCGGTACTTTAAGTCCCAAACCCCACTGTCGTAGTTCGGCAACACCCATATATCAACAACTTCAGCAGCCTTGTTACAGCAATAGATGCCAAGCATGTCATCCATCTCAAAGATGAATGACTTGGCGGGATCAGCTGGAGCACGCATCTGCCTAAACGACTCGGCTGTGGTGTCAAATACTACCAGTTCCCTTCCAGCCTCACAATCCTCCAGTGGGTTCTCGCCTGGGCGATAAAACAGGCACCAATGCAGGCTATCACGCACCCTGGCAGGTCCGTGGAAGTAAGCCGACGAGAATTTGGGCTCCGACAACCCGATGTACCTCGGGGGCTGGTCGGATCCGAGCGCGAAGACATAGCAGCCATTTTTGCCTGTAGGCGAGTCACAGTCACTGTCGTCCCCCCAGTCCATTGCGCCCCTCCACTGCAGTAACAGCCGGTACTCGCCGGTAGGTCCGTGTAGGTACATCCCCAGGATGTTGAAGTCCGGCAGGGGCGGGAGGGAGGCGTGCTGACGCGTTACCGGGTTGCAGACGGTGAGGCGGGCGCGATTGCCAAGCATGCCAGACTTGGCGACGATGAGGAGGCCGTCGCAGCAGAGCTCCAGACTGAAGGACTCGTCAAGCCGGGCGACGGTGTGGAACTGGGCGTCAGCGGCGGCGGCCCGGTGGTCGAAGGCGAGGAAGGTACGGTACCCGTTGTCGGCGACGATGGGGAGGGCGGGCTGGCGGGCGTGGTGGGCCAGGAGGAAGCGGCGGGTGGAGGTGGCGCGGCGCCAGGCGCGGCGGACGGCGCGGCAGCGGATGAGGGATCTGGGGTCAAGGCGGGCGAAGATCTCGCAGAGGACGATCTCGTCAGGGAGGTTGCGGAGGAGAGGCGTCGCTCCTGCGGCCGCGGCCGCGGCATCCGCCATGGTCGGCGGCCGAGGGGAGGTTGGTGTTTCTGTTTCGGGGAGAGTTGGAATGGGGATTTGTTTTTCCTTGAGAAAAGAAAAGGAATGGAGATAGGCGTAGTTAGTAGTACTAGAATTCTGGGCTGTGGAATGGTAGCGGCTCTCAAACGGGCTGAGCTTAGCCCAGAAGCAGATCACTGTGAACTTATCTTTCTGAATGGAGATCACTGTTGCCCTCCCAAAAGAAAATGGAGATCAGTGTGAACTGATTTTTTTGAGACACAGATCACTGTGAACTGAAACATCCTTTTCAATTACTCATGTTTTTTCCTAAAAAAAATTTACTCGTGTTTCGGAAATCCAACTCTAACCCGGAGCTCATGCTCCTCCGATGAAAGGTAAAGGAAATAAAATATCAAACAAATTCAAAAAAAATAGTATGCATCAAAGATGAAGGACTCTTCTAGGTGCGTACAAATTTTCACACTGAGATGACATCCGAGGAGCCTGGTACAAAAACACAGAATCGAAGCTCGAATTTTTTGTGCAACTTCATCTTTTGATCTTTCATTTTGTTTTCTTTGTACCGAACTCCTCAGATAGCATGTCAGCGTGGAACTTCGCAACCACCTAGAAGAATCTCTCATTTTTCATGTGTAGTTTTTTTAGCTTGTTTTAAACAGGTTATCATTTCGAATTACTTCACTCGGTGCAGATGTACTTGAGCTCCTAACGCTACTCTCCTTGTGATTCCTTTTTTTTTTTTGCGGATACATTATACACTAGGAATCTTATTTTACCATATATCATTTCGCACGTGCATATGAGTTTTTCACTGAATCGTACATTCCAAGATCATAGCAGTTATACCATAGAATATAAGCTCGTAATTATGAATAATAGAAATATAAATAATACAATATTATTGCCTCTAGGGCATATTTCCAACAACCGCGTTGTCCTAATCGACAAACACCATTTGTGGATTCTAGGTCGGTGCACAGTTGGCCATTGTACACCTTTGGAATAGATCGATGTCGTCTTATTTTGAAAAGTAACTTGGTCTATGAATATACCGATAGAATTCAAGCCTCTTACAACAGCTGGAAAAAAAATCCATCAATGATATTATGTGAATTTCTAAATGATTACACTTCATTTTAGGAAGTACTTTAGTACAACAATTTGGATATGCATCTAATTGATAGATACTACTGAATTGCTTATGGTGGATATGTATACAATTAATATCTGCCTTGCAATGGCCATATATATTTAGATGTCATGCACATCATTCACCTAATCATCACAACAACAAGAACCTTGATTGATCCCAAAGCTGCATAAGCGCATCCATCAACCCAAAGTCGTACCATCACAAATCTGTCACCATGAGGACCTGCAGTCTCCTGCTCATCATTATCGCCGTTGTTGATGTGGCTTATCCCGTTGCCACGTCCGCCCAAGTAGCATGGTATCCAATTGGGGACGTCAACAATGAACCGCACGTCCAAAAGCTCGGCGGGTGGGCAGTGGCGGAGCACGTCAAGCAGGTGCACGATGGGCTCAAGTTCATCAAGGTGATGAGCGGTGAAAAGGCACCTGATGCCGGTGTGAAATATCACCTCATCATCAAAGCATTCAACAGCAACGACAAACCTGCTAGATACGAAGCATATTTGGTTGAGGAGGCTAGGAGCAACACGCGCACCCTCATCTTCTTTAGCCCCGTGAACTAAGCGATGACCAACTGGGTGGATAGTATTTTGGATGTAATAAACATGTACTGATGAGAATAAATAATTTTTGTAAGCAATATGGAAAAATATTTGAATTTGAGATAACAAGTTTTTGGTCTACAAATTTCAAAACGGTAGGTTTGCTCCATCATTAAATTGTCAACATTAAAAAGTTCCCCAGAAGAAAAACTGATTGTCATATTGCATCTCGACTTTTCTCGGCATTATACTTGGCTTGCAATTTCTTGGTGCTATGTACTATAGGCTACCACGCACATCGTCGCATCGTTCTTCACTTGTGGGATTAATCTCTCTCGTAGATTATTGTAGTTGATTGTTTTTTTTTGACTTTATCTGTGTTGGGTTGGTTTTTAACTATATTTTGGTTTTATTTTTTCCATTCTTATATTGTGTTGGGCTACCTTTGGAGACGGTATTTGATCTGAAAGGAGAGTGAACTTGTTCTAGCGTGGTTATGGTGTCCTTACATGTTTCGGCTTTGGTGTCAGCCAAAGGTGATTGTGTGAGCCCGTTGGGGGACTATATTCCACATTCAAACAGTGGAATTGCTAGTACAAAAATGTTACTCATGTTTCAGAAATCTAAGTCTGACCCCGAGCTCATGCTCCCCCAATGAAAGGTAAGGAAATAAAATGTCAAACAAATTCAAAAAAATCTTTAAAAATTACGCATCAAAGATGAAAGACTCTTCTAGTGCGTACAAACTTTTGCACTGAGATGGCATCCGAGGAGCTCGGTATACCAAAAAACAGAATCAACGATCAATTTATTTTTTTGCAGCTTTGGACATTTTTTTAGCTTTCATTTCGTTTTCTTTGTACCGAGCTCCTCGAATGTAATGTCAGCGTGAAACTTTGCAAGCACCTAGAAGAATCTCTCATCTTTGATGTGTAAAAAATCATTTAAAAAATGTGTTAGGTATTTTTTTTGAATTACTTCACTTGGGTGCATCTCATGGTTTCCAATTCTTCTTTTTTTCGCCATGGGTACATTATATACATAAAAAGATCGGTCTCATGAGACCCACACCCACCCCGACTGCAAATTTTAGCTCAAGGTCTCATGTATTGCGTATTGAAAAGGTGTGCCATTTTTTTGGGGGCCCTCCAAGACGTTTTACAGTCTCCAATGGCGAATGGCCTCCAATGGATAAATCGGCCTGATATGCCATAGAGAGCACAACACCTGTTTTTCCTCAAAAAAAAACAAACAAAAAAAAAACTTGACAGTCTGCACAGTAGAGTCTAGATAACAGCGGATCCTGAATAGCTTCATACTTGGAGCATTTTCCGGCGACAACACTGTGTCCGGATCATCTGAGTCTTCCCAAATATGGTGAATATTTTGGAAGTTCCATGAAAACTGGAAGGGAAGCCGTGCATTACTGCGGCCTGACGTCTGAAAGAAAAAACTTAAAAGACAGAAGACTATTAATAGAAAGATTTAAAAATATGCAAAGTTCAATACTAGTATCTATTTTCTACAAAATTTTGTGTTCATCTTTCTGGTTGAAGAGCCTAATCCATCCTTGGTTTTTTATTTTTTTACCTCTGCAAAACAGCATTACTTACACTGAATATCATTATGCTTCCTAAATTGATATTATCTCATCTACTGCCTGGCTTATTTCCGACTCATGCAATCGAAAGAGCTTGGCGTCTCACATGCCCATTTTAAAAGAAATCATGCAGACTTTTCTCACAGTCAATGACTGCATCACAGGAAAACATGTGTGCCATATACCAAAGCTCCCATGCTAAATCACTAAAGTTTAAAATGGAAAATTATCCAAATACAGTTGGAAGGTGAAATAAATCAATTGGACTTGGTTATGAAAGGGGCCAGCAGTAAAAGACCACGTTCTGAAGACTTGGCCACATGCATAATGCATTTCTGAATATTGTGGTACACATATACAGCATGTAGAAAAACTAATCTGAAATATCCGCAAGTGGAAATAATAATAATATGCTCCAGAAGAAAATGGAGAGCTGCTACCTACTGCTGTCCTTTGTTCGTGATAACATATCACGGCATTTTCTCCAGGAAGCGCTCAAGAGAGTCCCTCCTGGCAATGGGGGACCTGCAAAGAAGGTTAAGTTGTTACTCCCTCCGACCCATAATGTAAGACGTTTTTTGATACTACACTAGTGCCAAAAAACGTCTTACATTATGGGACGGAGGGAGTACCTTTTTAAATCATGAATTCATATAACGCAGGAAAGATGGCTTACATGGCACTCGTGTAATCACGCAGTAATGAGGCTGAGAAGAGGTCATAGAAAATTAAAAGCATGCCAATTTTTTTTACCTGGATAGCATGCCAAAAAACGAGTAAAACTCATCAATTAAAGCAACAATGATCTTAAAGCGAAACAGATGAAAATGCTGAAACCTGATGTATCTGGCTTCATTTCTCTCATAGACAACAAACATCAATTAAGCATCCGAAAGTAGGAATTCTTAATACTTCCCCAAACAAAATGAAGCAATTAACTAGATGTACCTGAAGCACTGAGCCACATGTGTACAGTTGGAACACTGAAGCACACAAGTACCTCAAAATGCAGAGCTGATAAACCTCATAAACAGGACTAGATGGGACACATGATATATGATCATATTTCAGAGATATTAACAATTGTGAATAGTATTTTTGTGAATCTCTTACCCAATCAAAATGTATCTGTTGGACTCTGAGAAACAGGTTATCATAATGACTTTTTTGCAGTGATCCTACCAGGAAAGCGTGACTGCCAATCAAAAACACCAGTCAGAAAAAGACTCTGTTACAGAGATTGTTAGATGACTTAGCTGAAACCATTTATCACTAGTTTTTTTTTCAGAAATTAATTAAATCATAGAGTTCATCTTGTTGCAGAAAAGACACTAAGTGCAGGGCTGCAAAGATATAGGCAGAACAATGAGATGAAATGACTTCGGCCATGTTATACGTTGAAAATCCTTCAAGCTATTTTACTAGTTACTCAGCTATACATATATAATCTCAAGCCTCGACACAAACATCATTTTCAACGCCTCCATTCACTTTGGCACAATAATCTGCTGCTACGTCAGGATATCAGCACACTAATCTGCTAGTGAACTTAGCACATCTAACTATTTTATAAGAAAAGCTTTCATTAGATTTGTTCGCTAGAGTGGCACTGTATATTGCAATGGTGTTAGTTTGTCTGTAATCCAATTTCAGTTCCTGTTGAAAAGGTACATATCATGTTCATAATCAACAAAACGTCTGCTCTGTTCTATTTATTTTTCTTATAAGTGGTGCCTTGTATTATTTCCCCACTTAATGAATCCATTGACGAAGGTTTCTGCAAGAAATCTTTTCCCCTGGAATGGTAAAGCATGTTCCTGAATGTTCTAAAATGATTAGATGCCATGTCAAATCCAGTGGTTTCTTGTGGCATTTATCTGTTCGCAAGCTCTACTAAGTGTCTAAGACACATTATATGTCAGACACAATCACATTTGCATCATTTGCCCTTACCCTTAGGACAGCCAATAAATATCAGTTGCATTTGCAGCTTGCCAAATCCACTAGCTTGTCACTAACTTTGAACAAGAGCATGTCGCTATTCGAGCACAAATCAAGCAGGAAAACAGCAGCAATCATCACTTCATCAGCAACGCGCTAAGTCGAATACCGTTGATGCTAAGTAGCTTGCCACCAATCCACCATACCAAAGAGACTAACATAGTGTCATCTGATCGTTGAATCAAGATCTACATTACAAGTCAAAGAAACAACAAATACTAGGGAGATATCTTCTCATGAAGCTAGAAGAAAAGCTCACGCGAAATCTTTCACCAAGATGGCTTTCTCCACAATCTCATCACCCTCCTCCTTCCGGTGCTCTCCGCCTCTGGTCCCCTCGGCACACCCCTCATCCCGTCCCAGCTCTTGGCCGATCACAACAACCCTGTCTCCGCGCCCGACGACGACCTCGTCGGCGCCGCCGTCACTGCCGCCCCTCGCGCCAACAAGGGCGTCGGGAATGACCCCGTAGGTGGGTCCCGCGTCCTCCACGCAGCCTCCACGAGGCGCTAGCGGGTCAACGTCGTCCTCGTCATCGGAAAGGGGGAGGTGGGGGAGGCGGGAGGAGACGGCCCACGCTGCAAGGGAGAAAGCCTTGGCGATGGACTCCGGTGGGAGCGCGCAGTCCTCCAGGCCCGCATCCTCCAGCCGCGGCGGCCGGATGGGCTCGCCGGCGATGTGCCTTCCTTCCTCGGTCATTTTGGTTCGCTGACTGGTCTGGAGGTCTCTGGGCTAGCGAGTCTGGACTCTGGACGCGGGTGGGGGCTTCCATGATGAACAGTTAACCGAGTCACACTATTTCACCAAGATCACCATGTTCAAAAAGTGCATTTTACATCTTAAAAAAAAGCAACTCCAACAGATGATGTAAATTGGTGATGTAAAAGTATAACTCCAAAAGATATTTCAAAAGGAGATGTAAAACTAGTCGGCATGAGCGTCGGCGGCCGAGCGTCCACTGGTAGAAAAAAGGGCTTAATGTGAAGCACATTAGTCCCGATTTGTAACAAAACCGGCACTAAAGTGACCATTAGTGCCAGTCCCAAAGGCTAAGGGGGAAAAGATCATTAGTACCGGTTCGTGGCGAACCTTTAGTACCGGTTCATGCCACGAACCGGTACTAAAGAGACTGTTGCATGCTGTGGTCAGGCTGGGGCCCTACCAACACCTTTAGTACCGGTTCATGCCACAAACTGGTACTAGAGGTTTCTAGTTGATTCATTCTGCAGCGGCTTTTAGTCCCACCTTGCTCCGCTAACAGAGTTTTTACCACCTTAAATATGTTACCTGTCAAACTATCACAACCACTTGGTCTTCATTGAACTCTATGTGTAGAATTTGTGGCCACAATATGAGTCTTCTCCGGTTTCTAAACCGGTGAGGACTCATATTGTTAATTCAGATTGTACATAAAAAGATCATTGATGATCAATATATTTTTGATGTATTTCTTTGTAGTAGTAGCGCGTTTTGGCGTGAACCGGTACTATATTTTTATGTACTTCATTGAACTATACATTTTGGCGTTCAGATGCAAAATTCAAATCCATGTCATCAACTTTCAACCCTTTCTGACATAATTTCTTATTTTCGATGCATTTACTGATTTGTTTTGCGAGCTAAATGACCGTGAAATTGAAAAGCACTACAAAATGAACTCTGAAAAGGTTGAAACTTGGCAAGGTATCATCATTTCACCCACATAGCATGTGCAAAAAAGTAGAGAGGGTTACGTCAAAAACTGGATGCACTTCGTGTACAAACTGGACAATTTCTTTCGAAGTATCAGGGTTTTGGACGAAAACTCATCTGTTACACCGGCTATTCAAAATTTTAATAACTTATTACAACTCCGGACTTTTTATGCGTTCAGATGCACAATTCAAATCCACGTCATCAATTTTCAACCCTTTCTGACATAATTTTCAAGTTACGGACCCAGTCCGTGTAGTTGCTACCATCATCTTTCAACTTAGCTTTCTCTAGGAACACATTAAAATTCAGGGGAACGGTAGCACGGGCCATTGATCTACAACATAGATATGCAAATACTATCAGGACTAAGTTCATGATAAATTAGGTTCAATTGATCAAATTACTTAAGAACTCCCACTGAGATAGACATCCCTCAAGTCATCTAAATGATACGTGATCCAAATAAACTAATCCATGTTCGATCATCACGTGAGATGGAGTAGTCATCAATGGTGAACATCTCTATGTTGATCATATCTACTACTCCCTCTGTTCCAAAATAGATGACCCAACTTTATACTAAAGTTAGTACAAAGTTGGGTCATCTATTTTGGAACGGAGGGAGTATATGATTCACGTTCGACCTGTCGGTCTCCAGTGTTCCGAGGCCATGTCTGTACATGCTAGGCTTTTCAAGTTTAACCCAAGCATTCCACATGTGCAAAACTGCCTTGCACCATTGTATGTGAACGTAGAGTCTATCACACCCGATCATCACGTGGTGTCTCAACACGACGAATTGTAGCAACGGTGCATACTCGGGGAGAACACTTTTACCTTGAAATTTAGTTAAGGGATCATCTTATAATGCTACCGCCGTACTAAGCAAAATAAGATGCATAAAAGATAAACATCACATGCAATCAAAATATATGACATGATATGGCCATCATCATCTTGTGCTTTTGATCTCCATCTCCAAAGCATCGTCATGATCTCCATCGTCCCCGACTTGACACCTTGATCTCCATCGTTGTGTCGTGGTCGTCTCGCCAACTATTGCTTCTACAACTATCGCTAATGCATAGTGATAAAGTAAATCAATTACATGGCGTTTGCATTTCATACAATAAAGAGACAACCATAAGGCTCCTGACGGTTGCCAATAACTTCTACAAAACATGATCATCTCATACAATAACGTATATCACAGCATGTCTTGACCATATCACATCACAACATGCCCTGCAAAAAAAAGTTAGACGTCCTCTACTTTGTTGTTGCAAGTTTAACATGGCCGCTAAGGGTTTCTAGCAAGAACCGTTCTTACCTATGCATCAAACCACAACGGTGTTTCTTCAAGTTTGTTGTTTTAACCTTCTTCAAGGACCGGTTGTAGTCAAATTCGATTCAACTAAAGTAGGAGAAAAAGACACCCGCTAGCCACCTTTATGCAAAACTAGTTGCATGTCTGTCGGTGCAACTGGTCTCATGTGCGTGGACATGTAAGGTTGGTCTGGGACGCTTCATCCCACAATAGTGCCGAATCAAAATAAGGCGTTGGTGGTAAGCAATATGACTATCACCGCTGTCACGCCCAATATGCGATACTATCCTAAAGAGACTCGAAGGTCCCACCAAGCATAGAACCGCATATTGAAACACTTTTGCAAGGTGGATATCATTACATCAACATTACATAATAGATGGGGATACATACAAAAGGCATACAATGCCACCCAAATACAACATCATCATACATAAGAACACCATCCGACTACGGATGAAACACAAACAGTAACTCAAACGACATCCACCCTGCTAGCCCAGGCTACCGACCTGGAACCTATCCCCTGATCGAAGAAGAAGCAGAAGAAGAACTCAAGCAAGCAAGCATCGCTCTCGCGTCATGAGCATCGCATAACCTGTACCTGCAACTGTTGTTGTAGTAATCTATGAGCCACGAGGACTCAGCAATCCCATTACCATGGGTATCAAGACTAGCAAAGCTTAAAGGGAATGGAAGCGGTAAAGTGGTGAGGTTACAGCAGCGACTAAGCATATATGGTGGCTAACATACGCAAATAAGAGCGAGAAGAGAGCAAATGGAACGGTCGTGAAGCTAGCAATGATCAAGAAGTGATCCTGAACTCCTACTTACGTCAAACATAACCCAAAAACCGTGTTCACTACCCGGACTCCGCCGAAAAGAGACCGTCACGGCTACACACGCGGTTGATGCGTTTTAATTCGGATCTGGTGTCAAGTTATCTACAGCCGGACATTAACAAATTCCCATCTGCGCATAACTGCGGGCACGGCTTTCGAAAGTTTATACCCTGCAGGGGTGTCCCAACTTAGCCCATGATAAGCTCTCGCGATCAACGAAGGATATACCTTCTCCCAGGAAGACCCGATCAGACTCGGAATCCCGGTTTACAAGACATTTCGACAATGGTAAAACAAGACCCGCTGTGCCGACAAATCCCGATAGGAGCTGCACATATCTCATTCTCAAGGCACACCGGATGAGCCAGACGTCGGGTTGGCATAGACCCTGATTGCCTAGGAGCGCCGGACATCGCTCGGTTTGGACCAACACTTAGACAAGCATTGGCCCGGGGGGCTAAAATAAAGATGACCCTCGGGTTAATTACTCCCAAGGGAAATGTAGGTGATGGTGAGGCAAATGGTAAAACCAAGGTTGGGCCTTGCTGGAGGAGTTTTATTCAAAGCGAACTGTCAAGGGGGTCCCATAAATCACCCAACCGCGTAAGGAGCGCAAAATCCGGGAACATAACACCGGTATGACGGAGACTAGGGCGGCAAGAGTGGAACAAAACACCAGGCATAGGGCCGAGCCTTCCACCCTTTACCAAGTATATAGATGCATTAATTAAATAAGAGATATTGTGATATCCCAACATAAACCTGTCCACCATGGAGCAATCTTCAACTTCACCTGCAACTAACAACGCTATAAGAAGGGCTGAGAAAAGCGGTAACATAGCCAAGCAATGGTTTGCTAGGAAGGGTGAAAAAGGTTAGAGGTTCATGGCAATTTGGGAGGCTTGATGAGCAAAAGATAGGTAACGCGGCATAGCGATAGAACGAAGCAACTAGCATAGCAATGATACTAGTGAGATCCAGGGTAGCGGTCATCTTGCCTGAAATCCCGCTAGGAAGAAGAATGAGTCCATGAAGAAGATGAAGCCACGAAGACGAACCAAGCGTAGACGAACGAATCCTCACGATCGCAACGAAACGGGAACTATCGAGAAGAAGCACACAACATGGTAAACACACCACACATAGACAAGACATGATGCACAACCAAACATGATGCATGACAAGGCTACATGAAGCTACTCATGGCAAGAGATGATGCAAACAAGAGCAACACATCAAGGCAAGTTTAATTGAGGCCGGAAACAACATATAACAATTCCGGTAAGTCCTCATATGCAAGTTTCGAAATTGGTCCAGATCTGAATAAACATTATGTTCAAGTTGTTAAACAGCAAGTTAAAATGCACCATGATGATCTACATGAGATTCTAGTCAAGTTACATATAAACTTCATTAGATTTGGAGCTACGGCCTAGAAGATATGAGCAATACAAGTTAAACATGGCATTGATGCAAAAAGCATACAAACATCAAGCAAACACCTCTAAACAAGGATGCAACATGATAATATGAAACTACATGCAAAATCAAGCAAGTTTCATATAGAGCACACTCACAACGGAGCAACGGTTCAACACACACACTATACAAGTTTAAAGGACAAGCTGTCCAAAACAGCAACTAGACATATTGCAAGCATCAAAACAACATGCTACAGCACCCCAACATCAAAACCAAAGGCATGGACATGATGTACAGGTAAAGCATGACAAAACATGAACACTGAGCTATCTCCAGAAATCACTAGGACATGCTCCAAAGCACATGGCAAGATTGCAAATAATAACAGTTTCAGACTTTGCAGAAATAACATC